TGCAGATTAAGATAGACTTGCCCAAGCTGCAGTGTCTCCAGTCATTTCATATACAGTGAACCCTTGCCACTTCGCGCTTCGACTTCCGCGGCTTCACTCTATCGCGTTTTTTTTTGCGTAACAGCGCATGCTCTGTCATTACTGCCACTGATTGGCTCATACTGTACACGCTTGATGCCATAAATAATATAATAAATAATAAATGATCATTGTAACGTCCAAAATGTTTTACTGTATTTTCCCTTTTTCATTTAATAAATTGGGTAATACGAGTGTCATGGTGACTAAAGGGTGATTTTTCATGTCCTCTATGCTCTAACTACGAAAATATTTGATTTACAAATAAGAAAATCCTACTTTCATTTATCACGGTAGGGTCTAGAACCGATTAACCGCGATAAACGAGGGTTCACTGTACATACAAAAATTGGTGTGGAGAGGATTATTAAAAATACCATGGACCCCTAGAAGAGTGAATAAAGCTATGTTGGAAGAGACACGGCCCCACAGCTCCTTAGGTACAAGGAGGACAAGAGTTCAATTCATGGACTGCGGTCCTGTTATCAGCAGGGACCAGCTCCTGGAAGAAGAGATGGTGCTGGGCAAAACAGAGGAGCAGTGAAAACGAGGAAGACCTCAGCAAGAGGGCTTGACACAGTGGCCGAAACAACGGACTCAAACAGAACAATTGTGAGGATGGTGCAGGCCGAGCAGGGTTTGATTCTTTGTACAATGTGTTCAAATGGACTCGACGGCATCTCACAACAACAACAACCACAACAACGTGTAGCTTCAATGTTCACTTCCCTACTCACTGATAGGGACCTCCATTGGTCTTATGCATTGTGTGGCCTCTCACAACGGAAACCACACACCATGGCAAAGTCATGTCAAACTGTTCTACGGAAGAGAGAACGCGGGTAACCGATCCGTGTTTCCTTGGATTACTGGGCATATCCTTATCCGAGATGGTAAATGTGAAAGGAGCTTTGATTCTTAGGAAGCGGCAGTGGGTTTGGAAGAGAGACAGAAGCCAGCAAGACCTAGAAACAGCATCTTTGATGTGGTGGGAAAAGATGACATTGATTACAGACAATGAGTAAGAAAGAGCCCTGGTGATGTAGTGGGTTATGAATTGGGCCACGAACCTCAAGTTTGGCAATTGAAACCCACCAGCCACTCTGAAGAGGCAGGTAAGGCTGTCTACTCCCATAAAGATTTAGTCCCTGAAACCCACAGGGGCAGTTCCTGCTGTCCTATAGGGTAGCTATGCACTGCAATGGACTCAGGGGGGGTGGGTTGAGGCACAAGTGAGACTTTGCTTATCTTGCTTATTGGGTAATCTGCTCCAGGGCACCACCATTGCCCAGTTACTAGGCCAAAAATTTAGAGTCAACTTTGACTCATTCCTTTGAAATCTTATTAACTCTACCTTCAGTCAACAGCCTCTAGGCCATCTCTGCCCCTTTCTCTACGACCTCTACCTTAGCCTGAGGCACCATTGCCAACTCTACTTCTGGCCTGTGATCTCTTCCCACTTGCAGTGATCCACTCAATCACAAATCAGATCTTTCTTTCCCCTGAAAGCTCCCCCGTGGCAATGTTCACCATGATTTACAAAGCCATGTGATTTCCTAGAGGTTTTCTAGGAAAGGTGTTGGAAGGGTTATCTTAGACACAGTTGTTTCCATGTCCCGGTAGAATAGTTTAGGAAGACTTCCCACATACTTTCTCAAAAAAATGCCTCTGAGTGTATGAAATGCATTTTGAAAGATTCATGTCATCATCCAAGGCCTTATAAAAATGGATAGTCTACTGGCCATGTTCTTTGTACCCAGGGCTATGTACAGACTTCAAATTCCCCAGAAGCAGTTCTTGGCGTCCTCTTAATGCCCATGTCCAACATTCTCTCTTCTCGAAAGCCTTCAACCCACTTCTCTCCTACCCCATGCCCAACCCCGATCTTTTGCAGAATAGGCAGCTCTCTCTGTATTTCTTTGGCTGTTCGTACATACTGACTGTAAGACCCTTCTCTGCCTTGGAAGGATGCTGTGGAAGGATAATAAATCTATTGACTTGTGTGTTTGTCCAGATTGACTAGAGAAACAAATCCATAGACACATGTGGTAGTTACATAATCTGTTGTCAATGTGAGACTTATAAGTGAAGGGGTGGGGTTTAGCCTGTCAATCAAGTCTCAGCTTGATGACCTCATTTGGAGGCACAAAGGAGATAAATAGCTCGCTGGAGGCGGGACACAGGTGCATTCCCTGCGAGACATTCCATTGACAAGACACATGGAGCTACGCTAGAGCTCTGGAGCAGGAGGAGCCATGTGGACGCCCTGCCAGTGCTGAGATGCTTATACTGCCACTGGATCCACAAGACCTTCCACTCACTAGCCTGTGTTCTTCCTGCACTTGGTATCATTACATGTGTTTTGTGAGTCTGAAGAGAAATTTATAGATTGGTATCAGATATGTATGGGCTAATATTGGACTTATAGACTTGATCTGGACTGGGCTGGGATGTTTTCTCAATATTCAACTGCTCTTATATATAAAGCTCTTTCTTATACACATATGAGTGTCTCTGAATTTGTCTAATCAACCCAGACTAACACAACACTCATGTGCATTAGAGAACTTTATATCAAAGAGTAATTGCATATTAAGAAAACATCCCAGCCAGTCCAGATCAAGTCAATAAGTCTGATATTAACCCATATGTCCAATACCAGTCTATAATTTCCTCTTCAGACTCACCCAATACATGGAAGATCATAGGCTCTGATTCCATCAG